CAGCTGAGTGCTTGTGCTGGTTACCTTCCGGACGTCATCTACACGCTTACCTGCTGAGGTGAAAGAAATATATTATTAGTTACACTTGTTTGTGAATATTAGTGATATAACACTATGTAATAATAATAATAATAATAATAATTGTTAACGCTCATATAACAAATGCTGTTATCTCAGGACACGTAGTACATAGCCTGTTAACATCTTAAATATAACTCACATGTTATAACTCTTGATACAGGGGACAATTTATATAATATGATCAAATTACAGTACATGAATATACTTATTAAAGTTATTTAGAGTTTCTTAGGAGATTCTAATATTTCACGATCACTCACGTTTTAGGGTCTAGTGGTCTGAACCAACGTGTTGTCTGTCCTGTAGAAATCGGTAGACTACCCTCGAGGGCCTGGAGGCGAGGGCCATCTGTCTCGCATTGAAACAGCAAATTCGTTGTCAACACTATATCTCTTATCTCTCTCTCTCTCTCTCTCTCTCTCTCGCCTTGTTTATCTTATTGTGGTTATCCCTCTCTTTCTCTCTCCTAGTTTATCTTACTGTGGCGGTAACAATAATAATAATAATCCTAGAGAGAGTTGTAGAGTACCAGTAACGAAGAAGAAGAAGGCACAGAAGTAGTTAAGTAATATTCTCACTTATATAACACTACAGACAACTTAACATATGTTCCACTAAAGCACTACAATCACCACAGTATCAAATAATACCAATATCTACTACAACCAACTTATAAGGAACATACAGTATTTATAAGTCACTACAAACCACAAAATACAGACACGTCAACATTCAGCGCTCTCTAGCACCAAAATCACCCGTTATATGGACTTAATCGCTAAATGGTTAATATTTACACTGTAGCGCCATAAGACGATGGTGTGATCACTCGATTAGATGGAGTTGTGTGTGACGGAATTTTAGTCTCAAATGTTTTCGTCTGGGGTTTGGACACTGCCAGTCTGCCATACCTACCACCCAAACGTTAGTACTGTAACTGTTGGTGTTCTTTACTCTAAAACGTTTTCTGAGGGCAGGACATTATCTAACCTAACAGATCAAACGTTCTGGTCCTCAAGCGTTAGATAAAACAGATGCTATTAACAGAAAACTTGGAGCACGTGCAGGTACAAGGAGCGAGAATTGTGCACAAGAACCAATTAACGTTTCACTTCCTCTCAGGAACAACAAATTATAACAAATCGTACACCGTCAAGTCTTGTAAACAAACACACTTACCTTACTTAATCACCATTAATTTAAACATTCTGGTCAGTAAGTCGGAAAAGGTATCCCGAACATTGGGTTCGTTTTAAGTAACCCGACAAATGGATTCATCAAAGCTGCTGTTCGAGTTGGAAAAATCAATTTGTCAGCGAATTTAAGTAACCCCATGTTCGGGACGCCTCTTCGGAGTTACTTCCCCGATTTTTTTTTCACTGGGCAAAGTCGTACACGATTTTAATGTTTTGTAATTATGTACAGTCGGTAAAAAAAAAAGTATCTTTCAGGAAGTGGTCCCATGAATTTGGAACTTAGCAATCCTGTTGACACGCTAAGGTTGGTAACCGTGATTGTGAGGCATTCCTTACCTATTATGATGGGTGAATAACAGTCTGCCTCATGAACCTTTATCAACCTCACGTACTGTACATAACAAAAAAGAAACAGCAAACAAAACCGACAAATTAAGTAAGTCGTGTCGTCTTAATATAACCGCACAAGTTATTCCTGTATCACAAGAATGACCTACAGCGTCCAGTATCCAGGATTTATTTATTAGGTATTTACAGTGTCACCACCCGGTTACTGGACAAAAGTGAAGGTCACACGTTGGACTAAATAAAGATCCTCAGAATTAAGTTGGTTCTACCTCTAGTGAAAGTTTATTTACATCTGACGTCACGATAAGAATGTGACGTCAGAGGTCAACTCCCACGTGATTCCGTGTCTCCCAGGTCACGTGTGTGTTATAGGCCAGCTCACCCGGAAAAAAAACAATAAAATAAATAAATGTACCTAAAACACACAAACACACAATCCCGACACTGTAATGACCTAGCGCGCGCACACACACACACACACACACACGCACGTTTTCCACCATATCTGTTGCCACTTATGTCACTCTTGTACGCAATAAATTATTCCGTCTACACGAATCTGTCCACACTTGCACACCACTTGTCTGTCTGTCTGTCTGTCTGTCTGTCTGTCTTTCCGTTTTTTATTCGTTTCCCGGACGTTTTAAAAGGTGTGTGTGTGTGTGTGTGTGTGTGTGTGTGTGTGTGTGTGTGTATGCCCCGTCACTTAACCACCATCTAAGTCACACATAAGTTCTCTAAGTGGTAACAGTACTGGCATAACTTCACTCTAAACTAAACATTATTTTTATCTTATTAAAACATAAAATAATACTGAAATTATTTTCAATTTCTTCGTTAATTTTAATTTACTTTAACAATACTGTAAAGGTCTGTAAGTGATGGAGTTGTTATAATGTATTACTACTAAGGTCTTGTTGGTGTTATAATGTATTACAACTGTTATCGCCGCTGGCTTTATCGTTGGTGTCAACAACCATGTGCCTCCCCCACCCCACACGGCCTGTTACCACACCAGATGTAGCGACTGGGGGGTGGGGGGGGGCGGTGTCTACCACCGGGAGTGTCATCACCACTGGCGTGAGCGTTGAGAGGGTATCATGGATATCATGACACAGATCGCCCTCTCGAGTGATGCCCCCCCCCCCCACGCGACCTGTGACCTCGACAGATGTGGCAGCTGGGGGGCGGGGGGCGGTGTTAACCGCCGGGAGTATCATCGCCACTGGCCTAAGTGCTGGCATCGCCGGGAGTGTTTTCACCGCTGGCGTCAGTGCTGACGTTTTTACTGCCTCACCCGAACAAAGATTAGGAGATTAGGAAGTGAGCGGCAGCTCTTCACAGTCTGCTTGGTTTCTTGATTTCCCGAAATAACTTGGCGTCATCGGCAAACATTTGTATGGAGGAGTGTACAACGTCAGGCATGTCATTTATGAAACAAACAAGCAACAGCGGGCCCAATATACTGCCCTGTGGTACCCCGCTGACAGGTACGGACGATGATTTCGTGCCATTAATCACCACACACTGCTTGCTGTCTTGTAGAAAGTCTTCTATCCACGCTAGGACATTTCCCGAATTCCGTACCCTTCCAGTTTGAATTTTAGCCTTTCGTGGGGTACACTGTCGAAAGCTTTGGCAAAATCTAGGTACACATTGTCGAGATTACCAACCCGTTCCCGAGTATAGCTGCCTTCTACCAACTACCTAACAACAACTCTTAGGAAACAAAATATCACCGTTTAACATAAGACTTCAAGCTTATTAGAAGAAAGGGACTGGTAACAACTATAGCACCATCACATAATGGGAACACCACAGCCGATTACAATGAACACGTGGTAACAATACGGTATATCCACAACAATATCAAATTACGACATTCGTTCAAAGGTTATTGAGGATTTACATTTTGTATACGAAGACTATTTCTCTGTTTCCTTAATTAAATTCACCTTAGAAAAAAACGCCTTGCATCAACAGTGGACGTCAGAAGTGACAACACTTACATTGCTAATGTCCAAAACAATTATATTTTGCATCTGCCTCTTCATTTAAAACGCTAAAAACAGGTTTATAAAATTGCTGACTCTTTTGGGGTGTAATATACCGCCAGTCTCCACAACTTACTGTTAAGTTCGAATCTTTTCTTTATTTCCCTACACACTACTACTAGAAGTCTCTGAACCACATCTTCGTCAGTGTTCATGCTTATCTTATAATGCTGTAGCCTTTGGAAGGTGGCATGTAATTGCGATCCTGAATATATCTGATTGACTGGTACATATAGGGAATCATCGGTTGGATCAATACCATACATTTGGAGTTCGACACACTATGTAAATGGCAAAAGGATGCAGTTGACATATGCTTTTCGGATTAAATGCAAAGTTGGGGCTTTACTCTAAAAAATCAAGTTTATTGTGTTGAGTTGCGGCAATATGTAATTAAAAATTCAAGTGGCAGAACACAAGTCTCTCCTCAATTACCCTGATGTGGAAATACAGTTTGAGGGGGTTGCCACTGTTGGAGTATTCTTGCAACAGCTTCATGCAGTGACAATCACCTCGTGGCATAGGCATGAAATATTTGTGGTTTGAGTTGACAAAACCCTGGAAATCCAAAACTCACATTTCCCTTTGGCACTATGGGAAAGGTAAATGTACACATTTCTCAACACATCTTCACGAGTACGTGGCCAGGTCTTTGCTGCTTCGCTGGCACAGAGATGCATACTATGTGCAACACGTTTAAATATGGTAATGCCAAGCATTTGATCTTCCATTCTGCTAGTTACACAGTTATATTCGCCCGTAATGTTTAACGCCCCATCTGCAGCAGACCCAATGAAGTTGTTCAATGGTATATCATGTGTAGTGAGGCACTGAAACAGCATGTTATATATTTCACCAGTCGAACCCTGATTACCTTCAAATACTCCAATCAAATCCGTCACCGCTATTTTGTCATTATCTCTCCAGATCAAAATACTTCACTATCATTGCATGTGATTTACTAACTGAGCAGTCGGTACTTTCGTCAATAATTACACTAAATTTATTTGTAGTTTCCTAACCAAGTTTTGAGTTGCACATTCCCCTAAAGCTTGCTCGACGACCTTGCATCTGGTCCGTTTCGTGCCGTTTGAGCGGCTGTCTTGGAATCGGGAACATTCGCTTATTGAGGTCGTCAAGGTGGTCACATAAGCTAAAAGAAATATTGAATTTATTTGGCTATACCTGCAACTGAAGATTGTGAGATCACATGCTGCTAAATGATTAAGGTTTCTGCCACCCTTACTTGGGACAGATTAACACGACCACTTATTGAACAGTGCCATTACATTTTGGGCTACAACACAAGAGGAAACAAACACTAAATCACCAGAATGGCATCAAGTTCTGCCAAAACGCTGCGAATAGGACAGTTGCCATCGCCGCGGCGCTCAGTATGGCCCCGGCAAGGTGAAGACGTGTCAGGTTGATCAAAGGCACCGCCGCCAGGCTGACCACAATGAGCAAACGTGCCACCCGGAGCAGAGGTGCTAGCTTTGAGGAGTTCTTCCTTACCCGTATGCTGTCTTGAGGTGTTTCAACGATGATGTCTCGGCACTTAAGTATTTATGGCAAACCTGACGATATGCCTTGGTCGGAGTTCCTGGTACTCAAGCTAGTCAACAGCAAAACGTCCTTCGCTAACCAATCTTTTTGGAAATGGGGACGAGGAGGCATAACCTGGAGATATCAGTTGTTGAGAATATGTTAGACGTTGACTCTCACAAGCATTAAATAATCTCCGTGCACCCATGTGGTATGCATAGGATTTCACCAGATATAGAAGTATTGCAGAGAACCTCTAGTTGAACATCAATTTACTTGCACATACATGTAATCCACATAAAAGATATTAGTTATGTTGATTGAGTGTGTAATAACGACAGTAAATACACCAATTACCAAGACAGACAGATGACTACATGAATCAGAGCCTCTTAATTCACAAGCAACACCAAAGATGTTAGTGAACAATAATCCTAAAAGAAGCTTGTACTATGAGATTCAATACACAGACAATTTAGTCGGAGTTAATTTGTTATAGTTTGACATCTAATGTATGGTTTAAAAGGCGGCGTGGCCACCTGGACTCTAGGAGACTGCCCCCTCAAGTGATGCCCCCTCTGCTAGCAGTGGTGAACAACAACACCCAATCCTGGCAGAGTTTTGTACTGGAACAATTTACACAGAACTATCTTCCCTTGGAACATCATACTGGTTCGCATTGACCCGCACTTGTAAGTACAGCCAAAGTGATGACATACCCCTCAGTACTGAAATATTGTGGACTAATTATGCCCACTCGTTCCTGCCTTATCTGGAGCAATAAGACAACGCGGAATGAAGTGTAGCTAATATTAATAGAGTTATAAACTTTGTATCATGTCATTACGCTCAATAATCAATTATAATTAAGATAAATTGTGTGAGACTAACTAATTATGTATCAGATGGATCACCATGTAATACTAATGAACGCCTTGTTGTCTGCAGGTTTTGACCACATCAATAAATATTGAATGAGTCAAAAGGCGGGTTTCAATCATTCCCTTCGACTTGCCCGTCACCTGAACGTCCTTAACTAAGGCGTTTACAACTACTAAGGTCTTGTTGATGTTATAATGTATTACTAAACTTAAACAACTAAGACTCTTTAACTCGCTACCATTCAGAGCCACAATGTTGCTACCATTCAGAGCCACAATGACTCCTGACTCGCTACCATTCAGAGAGCCACAAAACTCGTCATATGACTCACTACCATTCAGAGAGCCACAATGACTCCTGACTCGCTACCATTCAGAGAGCCACAATGACTCCTGACTCGCTACCATTCAGAGAACCACAATGACTCCTGACTCGCTACCATTCAGAGAGCCACAATGACTCCTGACTCGCTACCATTCAGAGAGCCACAATGACTCCTGACTCACTACCATTCAGAGAGCCACAATGACTCCTGACTCGCTACCATTCAGAGAGCCACAATGACTCCTGACTCGCTACCATTCAGAGAGCCACAATGACCCCTGACTCGCTACCATTCAGAGAGCCACAATGACCCCTGACTCGCTACCATTCAGAGAGCCACAATGACTCCTGACTCCCAAGTAACACATTTTAACACAAGTGATTAATAAACTTGAATATTTTATGATGTTCTTGACAGTCATGTGTGTTCATATGACTTTTGTGAAGAGTTTTAGTGGTCGGTGATATAATAATGATCAGTTGTGTTTTGTTTATTTCAGGATGGATGGTAAACATAGCTCTGTGTGTGTGTGTGTGTGTGTGTATACTGTATTTGTTCATTTGTGTACTGTGTATATATGTTAGTATAATGTGTATGTATGTATGTTTGTGTACTGTATATGTAGTTGGGTATTTACAGCACCTTTGTTTACACTCAGCTTTAATTGGTTGTTGAGGCGCCATATTTACACTACTCTGAACAGTGACGTCACCATCTTAAGTCACCTCACGGTCAACCCAGCTGGACACCTCACTTTACACTTGGGGCAATGCCGGGTAGTCGAGTACGGTGCCTCAATGGGTCGTCAGGCGTATGGGAATAAATTACACTGTCAAAAAGTAACATGTAACACACAGGTAACAATCACAGGTAGCACACAGGTAACATATACAGGTAACAGTCACATGTAGCACACAGGTAGTATTCACAAGTAACACGTAGGTAACACACACAGGTAACAGTCACAGGTAACACACACACACAGGTAAAAGTTACATGTAACACACACAGAGGTAACAGTTACAAATAACACTTACATAACATACATAAGTAACAGGTAACACAGGTGACACAAGCAGGTAACAGTCACAAGTAACACACACAGGTAAGAGGTAATCCACACAGGTATCACGTAACACACACAGGTAGCAGGAAACACACACAGGTAACACGTAACACACATAGGTAACAGGAAACACACACAGGTAACACGTAACACACACAGGTAACACGTAACACACACAGGTAACACGTAACACACACACACAGGTAACACGTAACACACACAGGTAACACGTAACACACACAGGTAACAGAAGAGACACAGAGGGGAGGGGTGGCGTCGGCTGAGCGTCCCCTTGAAGCGGTTCAGTTTTCAACAAGTTATTTTTCGGGTGGGGTGGCGGAGCTGGGCGGCGGAGGTGGTGGGCGGCGGAGGTGGTGGGCGGCGGCATCGGTGACCCCTAGAGGCTAGCACGGCAGAGGGCCGCCCTCACCCCTCTCTCCATTACTCAGGCGACGCACCACTCTCCCCGGCCCTCTCACTCAGCCCTCTCCCTCATGGGTTTTAATCCATCCTCTCCCTCTCCCCATCCGCTCTAGTATTTTACCTCGCCACCCGCGTCGCAACCCTTCGAGAACAATGATTCTGGTCCCCTTCCCCTATCTGCCGCCCTTCCAACCCGACCCTCTCCTAGATGTGATACACTGCCCTGCGCTCCCTCAAACTCTAATTCCGTTCTCTCGTAAACCTTATCGGATGCCCCTCTCTCTCTCTCTCTCTCGCTCTTACTCTCTCACTTTCTCTCTTTCTTTCTCACTCTCTCTCGCTCACCCTGCCCCTACCAGATAACTCACGGCCCTCTCCTTCCCCTCTCCTTCCCACTCAACAATTAAGATCTTCACCACCACCGCCGGCAGCACTACCAACCCTCCGGCACGGCTCCTCTGTCTCTCTCATACTTGGTATTGGTCGGCCCCTTCTGCTGGAGACCTTCCTGGCTGCTTTGTCCCTCTTACTACCATCCAGTCCCTCTCACTATCATCCAGTCCCTCTCACTATCTCACAGTCCCTCTCACCATCTCACAGTCCCACTCACTACCACCCAGCCCACTCAGGAAGCTTGGATAAGGGACAGACATATTGGTACCTTCTAATTGAACCACGAGAGCTAAGGGACGTGGTGCTATGGGAGTGTGGCACTAAGGGATGTGGTAGTGAGATGTGGCACTAGAGGAGTGTGGCATTAATGGGTGTGGAACTAAAAGGTGGGGCACTAAAGGATGGTGGCACTAAGGGGTGTGACACAAAGGGGTGTGATACAAAGGGGCATGGCACTCCCAGATCCATAGTTAACATCTACCAGGTTATGCAACCTTCCTCCACACCTGTCAGCACCACTAGTACCTCCCTCACACCTGTCAGCACCACTAGTACCTCCCTCCACACCTGTCAGCACCACTAGTACCTCCCTCCACACCTGTCAGCACCACTAGTACCTCCCTCCACACCTGTCAGCACCACTAGTACCTCCCTCCACACCTGTCAGCACCACTAGTACCTCCCTCCACACCTGTCAGCACCATACTTCAATTAATTATGTCACCATACTTATAAAAACTACTTATGGCACCGTGTACAGTGTCTGTGCCATCAATACACCTGCGTGTATATACAGTACAGTTGGCACCAGAACTTTAAGTGAACATTATAACAGGAAGGAGTACAATTTATCTGCTCTAAGATCCTCTCCCCTCAGTTATTGGAGCCCTAGACTGAGTTAGTGTAATCGGTTAATGATCTGTGTACATTTTTTACTGAGTCAGTGAGAGCAGTAGATGGCCGGTGTACAGTCACTCCTACAAGTCCAGTCGCCTCTCCTCAACTACCAACCCCGAGATTTAGACTGGTAAACCCGAAGCATTTATGGATAGAATAATGCGTCATTGTCTACTGCTTCGGGTTCACGAGTCTGATCTCGGGGTTCGTGGTTCAGGAGAGGCGACAGGACTTGTGGGTGACTGTACAGCGCATGTTCTAGTCTTGTCTTGTTGTCTGGTTTATGGGACATCTTAGGTGTTCAAATGTGGCTCCACTCCCTCTCTCTCTCTCTCGCTGTGTGTGTGTGTGTGTGTGTGTGTGTGCGTGAATTTGTTTAAGATGTAGAAGCTGTCGCCAACACAACAACCACACCCTAGGTTAACGAGCTGCATGACTGAGTGTCGAGGTATAGTCCGAGAAGACCGGACAACTCGACAACTGCACTGGCCAACCATTAAACCGGAACACGATCCGCAAAACGATTAACATCCAGGTTCCCAATTACTGCTGGGTAGACAGAGGCAAATGACGTAAAGAAACTTGCCCGTAGTTTCACTCTTACACCACAGGTCGCCACACTAAATTATCCAACCAGGAGCGAACTCGTAACAATGGTTTTAAATTAGACAAATTCCGATTTAGGCGCGAGATAGGTAAACATTGGTTTGTAAACAGAGTAGTGGATGAGTGGAACAAGTTACTAAACATCATCATTAACTCCAATACGCTGGATAGCTTCAAACATACTGTAGGTTGGATGGGTATATGAGCGATAGGGGTTGGGTGTAAACGGGACTGCCCAGTATGAGCCAATAGGCCCGCTGCAGTTTCCTCCATTCTTATGCTCTTGTGTGTGTGTGTGTGGAGAAAGGGATTTAAAGGGAAGGCCATGGAAGGGGAAAGAGGAGACACAAGGGGAAGGGGAAGTAGAAGGGGAGGGGGAAAGAAGAGGC